CCCCCCCATTTTATTCCCCCCCCAGGCCTTCTACTCCCCCTCCTCCTGCAACTTCCATGAGCGCATCCGCCCTGATGGCTACAACGTCTATGAGGCTGAGCGGCTGCACCTCCCCCTTGCCCTGATTCCCCCTGGGGGGGGCACCCTACGGCGACCCCCCCCACCCTTTACCCACTTCCTCCCATTACCTGGGGAGGGCCCCCCTGAAAAGCCCCCACACACGCCTCAACCCCCGCCTAATTTAGACCCGGACTCCTCAGATCCTTTGGGGCTGTTGGGGCGGCCCCCCCTGCGCAGCCCCAGTTATGGCTTATGAGCAGTTATTTATTAGGGAAGGGGTAATTTATTGACGGGAGTAAATTATTGGGGGAAAGGGGGGGGAAGTGAGATTAAAGGTGCTGGATGCCACAACGCTGTCCTTAAAGTGAGGGTCTGTCTGGAAGACAGCTGGTGAGGGGCACTGGTGGGGGGAGGCTGTGCCACAGGGAGGCTGTGGAGAGGTGTGGGGGGCTCCGGGGGGGTCCTCACCCTCAGCCCTGCCCGCCCCCCGGTGCCTCGAACTTCTTCTTGCGTCCCTCCATGCCGCTCAGCGCGTCCACGTTCTTCCGCCAATCGCCGACCTCGCGGCTCTCCTGGCCACGCCCACCGCGTCTTAACCAAACCACGCCCCCCTTCCTCGTCACACCCACCTGCCCCGAAGCCACGCCCCCAACACGACCAGGCCACGCCCCTATAGGTCACACGCCATGATAGGCCACACCTCCCGTTAGGCCACGGCCCTTACTGTGCCACGCCCCCCACCTTAGGCCACGCCCCCATCTTAGGCCACGCCCCCACTTTAGACCACGCTTCCGGATAGGCCACGCCCCCTCCGTGTCCCCCAATGACTCCATTGACCCCAATGTCCTCATGCCCCCCCACACATCCCCACGGCCCCCCACCCCCTTCCCTCCCCACGCCCCCCCATTCCCCCCCATCCCCACTCACCTTCTCAGCATCGTCCTTCCTCACCTGCCGCAGCCCGGCTCTCAGGTCGGTTCCCACGCGATGCTTGGAGCCCAGCAGGGCGGCCATCATGGCGTCAGCCGACAGCCGCACGCGGCGCAGCGCGGGGCGAACAAAGCGGCCCCCGGCAACGCGACGCCGGAGCTCCTCCATCTGGGACAGCAATGGGGGGACATTGGGGAGGGGGGGTCTGGGGACACGGGAAGGGGGGCGATGCGGGGGGGTGATGCCCCACCTCGGCCATGTTCTTGCTGACACGCGTCCCCATGTCGTAGCGCTCCTCATCCACGCGCCCTATGCGGGCGTGCAGCTCCCGGCACAGCTCCTGGGGGGGGAAGGCAGAGATGGTGACCCCCCCCAGTGGCCCCCAACTGTCCCCCCATTACCCCTAAATATCCTCCCCCAGAGCCCTCCTCCCAACACCTCCGCATCCCCCCACCTGCAGCTGGGCCATCCAAAAGGGGGCAGAGATGGTGACCCCTCCAATGGCCCCCAACTGTCCCCCCATCCCCCCTAAACATCCTCTGCCGAAGCACCCCCCACACCTCTGCATCCCCCCACCTGCAGCTGGGCCACCCCCAAGCCCTCCAGCTCTGGGGGGGGGCACAGCTCCCCCAGGTGCCGCTGTTTCTCTCCTGCCCTCTCCTGCTCCTCGCGCTCCAGCTCCCGCTTCGCTCTCTGCAGCAGCAGCGTCTGGGGAGGGGGACATTGGGGGGGGGGTCACTGGGATGTCACTGACAAGAGGGACCCCCCCAGAATGCACCCCCCCACACTTACCTTGAGCTGCAGCTTGCGGGAAGCCGAGATCTTGGATTGTCTCTGGGGGAACAGTGGGGAGAACAGTGGGGGCCATGTCCCCATTTGTGTCCCCCTTCACCTCCCCCACTCTGTCCCCATTCCTCAGACCCCCGCCTCATCCCATGAGCGTCCCCACATCTCCTCTGTCCCCATCCTGTGTCCCCACACGCGTTCTTTGCCCCTTTCCCTTTGTCCCCATCCCATGCCCTGTGCCCCCCTTGCCCCCACCCCATGACCCCTTTTCCCATCCCCACCTTGGCATGGGGCTCCACAGCATAACCCCGATAGTTGGCAGATGATTTGCGCCGCAGAGGGGGGGGCTTTGGCACCTCCCTGGGGGGGGGCAGAGGGCTCAGAGCCCTGAGACCCCCCCCCAAAGAAGGTCCTTGGGTTGCACCCCCCCTCCGCACACCCCCACTCACTCCTCAGCCATTGTGCATCCGTGCTGCTGGGAGACAAAAAACAGTACCTGGGATGGGAGGGGGGGCCATGGGGTGGCTCCCCCTTATCTCTAGGCTTTACCCTATAAGGGACTGCGGCTGCTGTGCTGATAAGGGGATAAATATAGACCCCTATCAGCACCCCCCCTGACAAGGACACCAGGAGGGCACTGACCTCCTCCAGAAACTGCTCTGCATCCCAGACCCCCCCCTCCCCACAGCCTCCAATGATCCACAGACTCCCCCACCAACCTATAGACCCCCCCAATCTACAGACCCCTCCTCCCTTTGCTCCACAGACCCTCCCCAACCCACAGACCCCCCTGCCCCAAACGTCTCCTCCACCCCCTTCTCCAGAAGCCCCCACCCCAATTACAGAGCTCACCCCTCTACCCACCTGGGGACCCTGCCCCCCAGTCCTGTAGGACTCCCATCCCCCCCGACAGACCCCCACCCCACGGACCCCGATCTCATTACCTCGCCGCGGTGGATCCCGGGCTCAGGCGGGGGGCGCTTTATGAATGGGGAGGGGGCGTGGCTTCACGCGGCACGCGTGAGTTTAGGGGCGTGGCTTTGAACGAGGGGGCGGGGTCTGATGGAGGGGGCGTGGCTAGGGGGAGGTGGGCGTGGTCAGTGGGTGGGGGCGGGTTTTGGGGGGGTCAGGGTGGGGGGCTGCGCCGGAAGCGCGCGTAACCCAGGGGAACTTCCGGCCCCCCCCAGGGCTCGAAGCCCCCCCCCAGCGCCAACGCTGCCGCCCGTGCCCGGAACGCCTCGATCTGCGGCGGCCGCAGGACGGGAACGAAGCTGGGGAAGGAAAAGGGGGCGGG